AGAAGGCACTAATGTATGACTCGAAGTACTGGGGGGAGAAGGGCCCTAATGTATGACTCAATGTACTGGGTCGTGTTATGACAATGATTCATGTATGACATTTTTCGCTGTGCTACAGTATATAATGTATTACTATTACAAGAACAGGTGCACGGTAAATTAGCAAGGCAAATCAGCTGGGCAAATCAGCCCACCCCAAATTCCCTGACGCCTAAATTGGACCGTCACGAAGCGACAGAAATCTTGGCCTGGTTAATGTCGTTTTCCGAGTCGGAACCACAAAGCTCCCGAAAACAACGGACGTGCAGCATAACGTAAGAACGTAATGGCGACCTTGTGATCTTGTTGCATCAAACCCTAGTAGCGGGAACACCTGGCCATGATCATGAACAAGTCAATCTCCAATGACAATTCGTCCACACGAAAGGCGCCACCTAAACCTCAACATAGGTTGTTCAACCCATCTCCAGAATACCCACCATCTGTGCACTGTGTGCAGTGTGCACCTCTAGCTCTCAAGTCAAGTTTCATTAGTACATGCAGCGCGTGCGCCCTCCGCCACATCAAAATTCACTCGTCCATCACCCTAACTGTCCTCGTCCTTCTCCAGTGATTGAAGCTACACTTTTGGTGCCCACAATCGTCGTTCTCTGCCTTCTCTCCACCAAAAACAACGCCGAAAGCGCTGTCACCGAGTTATTCAGCATTGGTATCTCCGACCTTAACCGCATCTCCTTAGAATTGTACTGCTTAAATGTCATCGAGACGTCTCCAAAGCACGCATGCAATATCTTAAATTATCCTTACAAGACTAGGTTCCGTCGGGTTGCTGATGCGTCAGCGAGTCCTCGTTTTACACGCGTGTGGGTAAAATGTTGCAATAAAATGTTGCAATGGACTGTGATGGACCAGGCAGTCACAGCTAGAACAATGTAACGACTGGCTGGGTATGTACGAAACTAACGATATCATAAACAAAAATATAAACGAGCGGCGATGTTGCGATTACGAGGTGGGCGCTGACGACTGTACCAATGAAAAACTCAGATCCGAGAGATATCTGCGATGTGGACCCTATGCCATTTGAAGTTGATGCTTGTATTGTTTGATCTCTCTTCGAGATTTTCCAATTTTGACCTTCAACCCCTTACCGCTCTGGTAAACATACCAATACGTGGTCTGGCAAACGCAAGGAATAAGTGTTAAGGATGAAACCCCAAGACTGCAATTCCGACGTACTGGGCCAAATCTCGAGACCTCACAGCCTTTCTCTTCGGTGATTCGATTCGCAAGAAAATCGGGATCGGAGAAGTCGTATGTCGACGCAGCTATGGTCCACCGTTGAGTAATGCAATGATATCGAAACTAAAGACATGCTCACGCGTAACACCCGTAGTTCGGAACGCATGAACGTAAATGTTGCCAATGAACTCCCGCGACTCGTTTTTCCTACATCGCAAAAGTCAGATAGATGTTGGACAAAATGAAATGAATCGACAGACGGCACAGTAAATATACAGAATGGATTTGCGCTTCCTTTCTTAAACGGTGTTGCTGTTGACAATTTTTAGTCGTTTATTTGTAGGAGAAAAGTTCCAAATGTCTCACCAAGAGCGAAACGTTCAGCATCCGGCGCCTGATTCCTAACAGATATTCCAGGGCGATTGGTTGGGACCAATACGTAGTCGCCCCCGTCCTGCGTGTAGTCGGACTGTAGGAATAGCGTCAGACCTCTCGATACTTAGTAAAACAAGATAGGCTGACCGCTGCCCCATCCGATACTAGGTTAGCCTTGAAACCGTGGTCCGTTTCCTCCAATGTACAAAATACAAGGCCAGGATCACCCGTGCGACCTCTGAAGAATGTGAGCACTGTCGCTCAACCAAGAAGACATCTCGGCGTACTTGGAGGGTAGATGCACGACCTCTTGACGCTCTGCGAATTATTAGACGGTTCACTAAGGATCAAACACCAAGTCGAGCTCTTACTACCGGGACCAATGTGAAGGACCTGTTAGTAGTGTCAGACAGCTGAAATCCAGGAAATCTCGACGACATGCATTCCAACATAATACTTCATCTTCACCACCGGTGCTGCGAGGAAGACCCGGAGTCAGAGTGAGGAAAAGCGTAATCTGGGGAATGGAAGGAATTAAATAAGACCAGCAGCATTCTATATGACAACGAACCTGGGTCTCGTTGGGGACATCGGAGATAAAGGCAAAGCGACGACCCCTGAAAAGCAGCCATCCAAACATGACAAACCCCTGGACGTCGTTAGCATGGCCTACTTATGACAAATTGGAGAGAAACAAACGAGCTGTCTGAGCCAATCCGCCAAACTTTGGCCAAAGATACAACACGCTCCCACTGATGCCAAAGCCGCTGCACCAGCAACCGCACCCCCTACGATTGCAGCGAGATTGTGATCCTGTTCAACTACTGTGTAGCTGCAGATGATGTTACGCGATGGAGTAAGCACACAAAAGATTACTCACATGAATGCATCCACTTCGCCCACCGCACTTGAGGTAGTATTACTTGACCCGTAGTTAACGAGAGTATGTGGGCCATTGTCCAGTCCACTTGCTCCCCATCTGATAGCCCAATTTGGGTTCTGACCTTGGGCCTGGGTGAGGTTCACCAAAACTGACGGTCCTGAGTCGAGCGTAAGGACGGTGGTACGATTTCCAATAAGGGGTGATATATAGTATATCGCAACACCTGGAGACACCAATCAGCGCATGCATTGAATATTCCGTCACATCAATGATGCTACAAGCATACGTACCAGTGAATGTAAATGTGGCAGTAGCATCTTGCTGACCGGTGCAATTGCGTGTGCCATCATAGGAAGCACCGATATTTAGGCTGCACTGGTTCCAATCGCCAACATATTGGATGGAAGGGTCAGTATTATCGACGGTCACATTCCGGTACTTCGCTAGCACTGGAGCAAAAAGAAGAGGGCCCAAGAAAAAAAAGAGGTGCAACACAATATTCCTCATCACCGGTTGGGGATCTGACAGTGTTGAAACCGAGAGCTTTGCATGCGCCCTTTATACTGGACGTGCATAATTAACTTGAAATGTCCTAGTGTATTACGAAACTTGGATATTCAAGAACATTGCGTGCGACAAAGTTTGTTGCCAATACTAATGCGGTAAGATCACCCACAGCCGGGAAACGTGTTTGTTTCGTGATTGCTGATTGGAACTTGATCGATGATCTTGGAGCCGATCTTCGTAAATCAAGCGCGCGAACCGACTGTAATTATATATGGCTCAATGTGAGCATATACTGAGTGTGCATAAGCAGGCATACTAGAAAAATGTATATGTACCAAGCTTGACTGCTCAATCTCTGCACGGAGAGGTGTGCTCAAAGGCCACGAGATTCCCCTTCAACCAGCTGGCCTGGTCATCATTGTTGGATTTAGATTAGCAGACGCGGTCGCAACCGTGTGAAGAAGCGTTCAATGTATCGAGTTAGAATTACATAATATTAGTGTTCACCGCGGCGGCCGGTTTTCTGCTCTCCAAGTGCAAGGCGCATCTTGCAGCACTGCCCAACTGGAAAAGCGAATAAGCTAGAGCAAAGTCGCGAGGAAGACCACGCTGTGCGCTGTAAAGTTAGTCCTGTTTAGGACAAGGCGAGTAGCGGGCTCCACATGGTCCGAGTCATGGGATTACGTGATTACAAAACTAAAAAACTTCCAACTCATTCGTGCTATTTTAGGACACCCACATTTTCACTTGGCAGTACTAGATAGTCCCACGAGTTCGCGCGTCCCTAGAGTTCGCGCATTGGCTTTAGCACACGCAATTCTGCACGAAATCCTTATATATGTTATACATAGGTTCCTCCCAACATCATACACATGGCCATGTATTTTTTTTGGCAAAAAATGAAGCGGATCTCGTGCCATGGTCGAGTTATGGGTGTTCGAGGCTCGTTTTGTGCATAAATGACTCCCTCGAAAGGTCAGATCACCACGGAAAAATCTGGGATGTGATATGACGATTCTACATGATTATAGAATGCTAAAATAAATTTCTCCGTGGCCACATGCTTGTCAGAATTATCCTCTGTGAATGAAATACGACCTAGACGTGACAATCTATCCAAAGCGTTACAATGAGACTGCATGCATCTAAACTCCGCTGTGCCGAAATGCGGCACAAAAACACCAACGTCAAATTGAAGTCAGTGCTCACCTAAACAGCTGCATGGTCAAGTCCATACTTTGAAGGTCCCTCAACTAGTACAATTTATTCTGGAACTGCACATACCTTACTTCCTCATGGACACGAGCACCCGTTCAATCCTCAACATAATCTACATCATGGCCGCACACCTGCTACTACACACTATCATAATCTTCAGCATTACCCTTATCACGATTATTTACCTACACAAGCTCATTATTCAAGTTCACGCTAGTACACAATGTATCATCATCTCACTGTCACATAGTCAGTTCAATAAACATTAATTGCGCATGCTTCACACTTCGCTGCGGTGCACGACTTTCAAACGGTGCGGAGTGTGAAAAGGCATGGCGGCAGACGTGTGACATGGGGTGACAAAATGCGCGAACTCTAGGGAAAACTGCACTTTTCTGCGCGGTAAGTCTCCGCTGGACTCAACACGTCAATTTTAAAAGAAAAAACTAGCGGGCCCCATAGTTTAAATGTCAGGCTATCCATCCATCGAAAATTTATATTTTTATGTGGATGTGTTGTAGAGTTATAGATGTTTTCTCGAAAATGCGCGAACTCTATGGGTCATCTAGTACTCTGTCGTCCGGCGCCAGGGCCTCATGTACTTCTTTAGGCGCTGATTTAGACGCTTTGTGATGAGCCGAGTATATGAACCTTACACTAGCGCTCCCAGTTGGCGTTCGCCAACAGGGCTCATGTGTCAGCATCAAACAACTGGCTGGCGCCCAATCCAAAGGTTCCCTCAAAAAATTTTACTACCGCTCACGGAATGCAGTCCCTTATATTGCCAGCCCCAACCTACGACGGAGTCGGACAGACACTGGCGTCTGATCCGAAAGTTCCCTCAAGAAATTTTCACTAGCGCTCGTCAAGGCACTGTAGTGTCTCCTTATTTTGCAATATCAGATGACGGGCTCTCATCTGCTTCATTCTTTAAAAATTGAAATCCACGGCTGATGTTCTGTATTATCTACTATCCTGCGGTTTGGTATTTTGTACTGATTATCCGACTCGCTTTCAATTTGTTTTCGCAGCAGATGGCATAATTCGGACTATCTAGCCTAGTCTGAACGAGCGATTAGTACACACTTCGTTAGGCTGGTAACCAATTGGTCAGTCTAGCCATTTGTACGAATCAATTAAAACCGGAACGTAATGACTTACAGCAGGGTGACATGATGACCCTGGTTACCTGCAGGCATGCGTCTTGAGCATTCAAGACGTTACCAAAAGTTTCGCCGCCGTATATTATCAGTCTAGATATCCTGCATACATCCCCCGCAGATCTCTACTATGAGCAAAACCACCTTCAGTATTTGTACGTTGACTTCAGCATGCGACACAAAACTGGCTCAAAAGACAGACGTACGCTCAATTTGCTACCCACTAATATCTAAAACTAACTTCTGATTTTCATGCAGGTCGTTGTTACACTTGTTCCATCACCTGGGGACGAAGATAGCGTGAGGAGTAAGCCAATATCTTGGAAGGTACGCAATCACCACCGTGACCTAGCATGGCAAATACAAGTGATTGACGTGCCGTCGTTCCAGGTCCTTACATTCCACGCCGAAAGTAAAATAATACTTTTCCTGAATTGAATTGAGTACTCAAAATACTGCTGCGACAGGCGCTGCAAATCATTCACTTACTATAAACCCAGAGTAAAGAATTACCGTTATTTCCTTATTCATGCGACTGATGAAAACTTGAAGGATTGCCGTTTGCACAGTCAAGGAAGAAGAAAACGGCATACTGACTCCCCAGCTCAGCAAAACACTTATGGTATGGCAAAATTGTGTCATCCGTTTGCCCGTTTTAATATTGCTTCCTGAAGAAAGGCGGCCAGGTTGTACTCAAGCCTGCGAAGGAGGGAAGCGAGATATATTGGGAGTCAGCCTCTCATGCGTTTTCCAATGACAGTTTCACAATCAAGAATGAGTGTGAGGATACCAGGCTTGCTCTATGCTTATTCGAAGAGGACGACGTCAAATGTCAGCCTATCGTTGATTTGGGCACACTCCCGTTCGTTCCTGTGCTACTTCTCAGTGACTGACCTGACGCCATCTCATACAGACAGGGCCAACAATTCACGATTAATGGACCGTTATATCTACAAGCCTACGCTATGGTAGAACCAACGGGTGCGTTTATTCGGATTCGCGACAAGGAATTACCTAAATCTCCTCGTCCCCAGCAGGAATGCCGCTGGAATTGATGGAGATGGGGTATACCCCATTGCTGGAGCCTATGGTTATAAACGATCTCCCCGAGGTGCGTTTTCTCCATGTATTACTAATGCTGAGCATTCTGATTCATGTCATTGTTATGAAGTCTGCATTCATACTTTACACCGAGCGAAACGGAGTACCCACGCTTCAGCATCCCGAGTGTCTTGCATTTCGAGATGTACAGTGCTGAAGTGCACGAATAGCGACCGTTCGCTAGTGTCGTTGCATATATACCAGATTTTAATGCGATTTAAGTTACAGATTAATATTACCATGCCTTGCCAAATTTTTGTATTGAGGAAACCAATGTATAGACGGAAAAAAAAATGAATGGACGTTGCGAGCACAAGAATGTGGGCTATTATTCAAGCCCAATCTAGGTTCTAACCTTTGGCCTGGGTGAGGTTCACCAAAACTGGTGGTCCTGAGTTGAGTGCAAGGACGGTGGTAACATTGTTGAGGCCATTATACAAGCTGCAACATTAAATGAAGCGAAGACGAGGTGTTTTCATTAATATTGTGAATGTCCCTTTGGGACTTAAACTCGAAAGAATACTAAGATCCGGAACAGGTAGCATGAACTCTTTTCGTCGTGCTGCCGTTCCACTTCCTTCTGGAGCTGGAGTCCCGCTGATTACGATGCTGTACAATCATACAATGTATCCAAAAATGTGCGATCTTACAGGGAGTCCTGGGGGATACTATTCCATTGTTCCACCCGAACAGTACTAGTATCTACGTAAAAGGTGGGACTAGTAGTAAGTTGTTTTTGCAGCTCCAGTCGCTAGCCCTTTCAGGAAGTCCAGTGAATCTGTTATCAGGCCAAGACCAACCGCTAACTTCCGGTCAACTCACCTTCGAGGAGTCTTTGCGCTGTCCCCCTGCGGTATGCGAGTCCGTGCGCTGATTCCAACAAACCTGGTCTCTTGTTTCGAAATGGCACAATACAGACGTTCACGAATACACCCCAATTCTTTCACAAAGACGAATATACATTCCATTCCTAACTCTCCTGTTCCGTCCGCTTACGAGAAGATTTCTCGAGTTTGATTTGCCCCCCACTTAGATCGGGATAGAGTGTGAATAGATACTTCACAACAATGACGTGAATCAGAATGCTTAGCATCAGCAACACATGGAGGAAACGCACATTGGGGAGGTCGATTACAGCCATGTCCTCTTTCAGTAACCCGGACTTCACATCAGCATCCGTCAATTCCAGCGGCATTCCAACTGGGGACAAGAAGACTTAGGTACTTCCTTGTTGTATACACGCATAAACGAACCTGTTTGTCCTGCTATGACGTAGGCTTGTACGCATAACGGTCCATTGACATTGATTTGTTGACCATTTCTGCATGAGATTGCGTCAGGTCAGTCACTGAGAAGTCGCACAGGAACGGACGAGCATATGCCCAAATCAACGATAGGCAGACGAGCACCGCCCTGATCGATTAAGCATAGAGCAAGCCTAGTATTCTCATACTCATTCTTGATCACGAAATCGTCGTTGGCAGGTGGAGTTTGAGTTTGTGCGTTCTGCTACAACACATCAGAGGCTGCTCGTCAGTCATCAAGCTTATCCACGAAATCGGTTTGAGACATATACCTGTTCTGCAGTGTCGCCTGTAGAAGTGAACTCCCAACACAGCGTACCTTCCCTCTTTATAAACTTTAGTGTAACTTCGCCACCTTTCTTCAGGAAGCAACATCAAAAACGGGCAATCAGGTGACACAAATTTGGCCATACCTGAAGTATTTCACTGAACTGGGGGACCACGACACCATTTTCCGTTTCCTCGACTGTGCAAACACCGATCCTTAAAATTTCTATCAGTCGCATGGAATAAGTAGTGACAGCCCTTTACTTTAAGTGTATAGTAGCTGGATAGCATGTTTGTCCTGTCGCAGTAGCGTTAAGTACTCGAGCCAAGTTCAGGAAAGAGTATGATTTCACTCTCGGCTGTACACTTATGAATCTAGAACAATCATGATGACACGTCAACTAGTTGTATTTGCAATACTACTGTGTCGGTGGTTGCGTACCTTCAAAGGTATCGGTTTACACTTCCTAGTATTCCGAACGACTTGTGGATATGCGACGACGACCTGCATGAAAATCAGAATTTAGTCTTAGATATTAGTAGATAGCGTAGCACTAGATCTATGTCTTGGCGCAGTTTCTTGGTGCTTTCTGCCATCGTCGTATGAACGTCGAAGTCAATGGAAGTTTGGCTGATCTGCGGGGATACATACAGGATATTAATCTTAGATATTAGTGGATAGCTTACATCTGTGTCTCGGGTCGTCGAAGCTTGGCTCATCATAATACTAATAGTCACCTGCAGGGATACATGCAAGATATTAGTGGATAGCGTACTGCTTTATATTTTTCAGTGACTCGCCTGATCTCCAAGACAAAAAAACTTCCTGAAAGGACTAGCAACTGCCGCTGCACAAACAACAGGTCCTATCTTTTACGTAGATACTAGTACTGTTTGGGTGGAACAATGGAATAGTATCCCCCAGTATGGTAAAGGACTCCCTGCGAGACCAGAACTATCGCACATTTTTTGATACATCGTATGATTGTGCAGCCGCCATCTGTCATGTGGGTTCGAGCTCGTCGGTTGCCTTACATAATTGCCTATCCGAACAGCCAGTCTCTTTAGCCGATGCATCGAGGGTTGTGACGACAATTGAAGCGAATATGTTGGGAGTGTCTTGGGGTCCAAGGCTAACGAGAGTTACGAGACATACTGTTTGAACTTTGTCCAGATTAGGTCGAAAGTTTTCGCCGAGGCCTATATCAGCCCAGATATCAGTCCATCGCATCTATCCGCAGATCACTACTATGAGCAAAACCTTTACATTCAGTGTTCGTACGTCAACTTCGGCACGCGACACAAGACTTAAACGAAAGACAGATGTATGCTTCATTTGCATGCTGCTAATATCTAAGACTAACTTCTGATTTTCATCTAGGTCGTCATCACACTTGCTCCATCGCCTGAGGATGCGGGTGGTGTGACGAGTAAGTTAATACCTTGGAAGGTAAGCAGTCGCCACCGTGATCTAGCATGGCAAAGACAAGTACATGATGTGTAATTCTTCTAGATCCTCACGTTTCACGCCGAAAGTACAATAATACATTTTACCGAAATTGACTTGAGTACTTAAAACACTGCTGTGACAGGCACTACATACCGTTCAGTCACTATAAACCCAGAGTAAATGGTTATCACTAATTTCTTATTCCATGGGACTGATGAAAATTCGAAGGATTGCCGTCTGCACAGTCGATGAACGGGACAATGGCGTCCTGATCCCCAACCACACTCAAAAACTTGAGGTACGGCGAAATTTGTATCACCCGTTTGTCCGTTTTGATCATGTTGCTTCCTGAAGAAAGGTGGCGTGGTCGTACTCAAGCCTACGCAAGAAGGAGATGGGTTGTATTGGGATGTAGATCCTCCGCCTTATACTAAAAATAGTAACGCAGGCATCACTGCAGGACAGGTATGTCTTAACCGATTTCGGGGATAAGAACGAGCACTGACGAATCGCTTGCGATGTGATGCAGCAGACTCCACCTACTGTTGCCAATGACAGTTTCATAATCAGGAATGAGTATGGGGAAACTAAGCTTGCCCTATGCTTATTTGAAGAGGACGGCTTTGACCGTCTGCCTATCGTTGATTTGGGCCCACTCCCGTTCGTTCCTATGCATTTTCTCAGTGACTAAGTTGACGGCACCTCTTGCAGAAAGGGTGAACAATTCACGATCAATGGACCCTTGTGTCTACAAGCCTACGCTATGGTAGAACCAACAGGTGCGTTCATGTGGATCCACAACAAGGAATTACCTAAATGTTCTCATTATTTCAAGTGGGAAAGCCGTTGGAATTGATGAATTATGCCCCGTTGCTGGGGCCTATGGCTGTAAACGATCTCCCCGAGGTGAGTTTTCTCCATGTATTGCTAATGTTGAGTATTCTCACTCACGTCGTTGTTATGAAGTCTGCCTTCATGCTTTATAACAAGCCAAACGGGACAACCGCGCTCAAGCCTCCCTACTGACGTCTTGCATTTTAACATGGTACTTGTACGGAATAGTAAGAGTCGTTACATATCAGATTTCAATGTGATCTAAATTGGATATTACCATCCCTTGCCGAAAATCACTGGTTATTCTCCAACTGGCCTGACTGTGCATCGTAGCGCTGAGTGGGTCGCGCATCCCCTATGTACCGAGTTTCAGTCCACCCACTACCTGAGTAACATGCAATCTCTTCGGACTGCAAACCTCACCCACTGGACCGTCGATTTTTCACACGAACTTCTGATTGACGACGGAGTTGGGGTAATGTGAGTATCAGGCTCGGCCAAAACTACAAAGCCAGGGTTCTCGACATAGCGATCCGACGTTTGTGATCGAAGTGTGCCAGTTTTTCACGTGTGCACTTTGTGATAGGCCATTTAAAGTCGTCCCAGTGATCGGGGATGTCAAGGGGAGAGGTTATAAAAAGTGGGTAGACTTTTGGCCCTTTCGTTTGTCCAGCTCCTACTTCTAAGATAGAAGCGGCAAGACGAAATCCTGTTTACGGCGGATATGAAAGTAGCTGTAAAGTTCGCTTTGGAGTCATAAAAGTGCTATCTATTAAGGTAAGTGAGAAAATTTGTTGAGCATCCCTGCTCTTCAAGATGTGTATAGCTACAGTATCTCTAGTGTCCTGATGTCAATCATCTCGTTAATGGAGGCCACGTCTTGGACTTGTGCAATGATATTGTGATCTGATGCGATTCTCTTGTACTCTCCGCCACGCTGCTGCGCTAGCAGAAATGCACCAAAAGGCTGTCCAAGACGAACAATCAATTGCAACGCTCGCAGGTGAGACTCTGAATCAGCGCAATGTTCTCCAGGAAACATGACGGGTAAATCGTGTGATGGAGACTGAGGCACGGACCAAAAACCTTCCTCGCTCTGCGTATCATCCCCATAACCTTTCTCGCTCTGCGTATTATCCCAAAAACCTTCATCGCTCTGCGCGTCGTCCCATAAATCAGGTGATTCTGCGAAGTCAGGCAACATGAGGAGGTGCCGATTCCACGGATAGACTAGTAAGAATGTCTGCAGGGTGGGCTTTGCTGGTGAAAATTGAACCAGCTTTTCTTCCGTGGTGATCACCAGATCATGAAGTCCGCGCGCTTTGACTTCATACGTGAAAGATGTCTCCTGGCCCTGACCACGCCCCCGTCTTAATTCTCTGACAGGGAATGTGATACAGGGCAGATGAAGCCGACGTTGCGAGAAACGTGGCGCGCTCAAGTTGTCAAGCGCGTCATACAATGTTGAAGCCGATTCTACAGACACGGTATCCTGCAGCAAGGAGACAGTTGCCTGAAACTCATCTTCGGACACAGATGGTAGGGTGCATGGCGGAGCTGTATACGAGGTAATTTCGGCTGGTAGACAACTGTTAAACTCGGACGATTGTCCCACCCAGTCCAGGGCACTGATGTCGCCCGACTGAGCTACAATCTCCTGCAAGAGCCTCCCAAGAGCGTTTTGCTTCTTCTCACCGTAGATCACAGGTAGGTGAATGTCGAAGATGCCAAATAATGAGTATGCAATGTCTTCCTGCAAAGTAGTGACACGCTTCGACGCCCATTGGAGTTTTTCTCGGACGCCGCTCATCCCTGGACGGAATGCGACGAGGCTCTGCGAATCTATGCCTGTCGCATTTTGCAACTCATTCATGATAGCGACAGAGTCTTTGTGGTTGTGAGAGCGGTCGTCGAGACAAAGGGTCCAGTCCCTCTGATAAAAGAGCAGGACTCTGGGAGCCACGAATTCCTGAAAGGTCCATCCTCGCCTGTTCCACTCACTCTTCGCCAGTGCGCCAGGCTCAGATGAACGCATAACATCCGAAAGGTAGACAATCGTGAGGGCTGAGTGGCGATACCAGATAAACATAGAGTTAACTGATTCCTGCACCTCTGCATTATTATTCTTGTCGATGCAGCATGTATCACTCCATGCCCAGCGATATCCCGCATCATGCGAAGCTTTGCAGAACGACTGCAACTTGACGACGCCATCAACTGGATCCAACCTGTACACGTCCTCCTCCTGGATGTCCCGCAGCAGCGGCTCATTTCTTTCCCACCTATGTGATAGCGTAACATATTGGAAGTACAGCGCCACCACGTCATTGATGTGTTTCCTTTGGAGGTCTGCGGGCTTCGTAGTTGACGACACAAGCTCCTTGTACTCTGTGCTCGTTTCGAAGGCGTTTATCTGCCCCTTTCGATCACATAAACGCCCAGTGGAAGTGTTGAGTAGACGAAGCGGGGCATTTTCAAGTTGAGAATTAATAATCTTTCGAATAGCACCTTCGACGTCAGATCGATTGACGTACTGCTGGCGCAGCTCTGGATAAACAGTCAAACATCCTGTCGTATGGGTTGCGTGTTCAGCGCTCACCTTGTATTTGTGTGTCGGGAGAATGTTCCAACTTGGAGAGCATGTTTTGGAAGGCTTCGATTGCTTCATCGTAGCGTTGCGCGCCATAAAGCGCCATATGTTTCACCTCGTATCCACGATAAGATGAAGGGTTGAGTTCAATGGCCTGAGTATCACCAAAAATAAGCATCGTCGACAAAATGGTACATGACATCGCACCGCTTGCGCATCGGCAATGGCACCCTCCCATAGCATTTTTTTCGACTTCGCCATACTGCGATTCGCATAGATGGTATCGGTTGCATAATCCAGATCGATCGCCGCCGAGTAAAGTCCAATAGCCCTGTTGTAATCATGTGCAGCGAGGGCGGCATCTCCGCCTGCAGCAAGGACAGCGTCACCGCTCGCATCGAGAGCAACATCCATATTGGCAGCATAGCGCACAGTGCAATTTTGCTTAAAATCTGAGTTAAATGTTTAAGGATTGTAGCTTATGTGATATTGCGGAAAACTTGCCAGCGGACCAATTAAGGCAAGCGGTCTTCGTAGTTTCATCGCTCTCATCCATCATATATCGATATGATCTGACGGCTTCACCGAGTCTACCCGCACAAAGGAGTGCATCACACCATTTCTGGTGTGCATTTTTCCACAATGACTTCAGGTCCCATCCGAAGAGCTGTGTGAAGCACGTAATGCAAAGCACATTCGATTGCATCACATTAACGTACCACAACGAAGTCCTCATGCGTAGAATGAATGGCTGATCCAGACGAAAAGCCAATTGAATTAACAGCGTTGGCGAAATGGTCAGCGGCTTCGTTGTAACGTGCACCATCGAAGGCATTGGTTCCCAGTCGGACAAGTAGATAAGCCTAGAGTACGAGTTGATAAAAATTAGTATGAATCCACGCAAGATGCTCACTTCCACGGCGCCATACGCAATAGTATCTGCGTTAGGATAAGTTGTGGCAAGTTCTTGAAGGTGCTGCATTGCGTCCACTTGCTGATTTGCATTGAAGAGTGCGATGGCCTGAAATTCTGAATTAAAGAGATATTACGTGGGTGAAAATGAACCTGCCTTGATCAATGAAAGTAAATGAACAGTCTTTAAATCTTCGTTTGTGAACGTGAATGCGAAGTCAAATGCTTTCATCGCGTCCTGAAATTGCATTTTCCCGCAGAGGGCAATGCCCTTCGAGATTAAGCCCGATAACGAGGGCTGAATGCTTACGGACTGCGTCACCATGGAAATTAGCCTATCTCGAGAGGTGACGGCTTGGTGTCCTTCACCTTGCATGCATCAGTGAGAGCGCAATCCCAGTCAAGTTTTCGCGCCATAACAACAGAGCGATTGGCATAGGAGTTATAGTTGCTACCGTCGGCGTTGATCTCGTTTGTTAGCAATGCTTCAGCGGTATGCAAGTCTCCAGTTAAGCATGCATTGCGGATTGTCGTGTTCATGGAGAGGATCTGCATGAAACACGATCACGTTGCGTGACTACAGTCAATGTGAGGGCAAAAATAAGGGGTTCTTACCATGTTTAATAAATGTTCCATAGGAGCATCCACCGGCAAAGCGTCTTCGGGTACTGTCCACTCTAAGACCTTTTTATCATAACCTCCACTCAGGAGTTGCTTCCCATCTGCAGAGAAGGTGACACAGCACACCGCACTGGAGTGCTTGAATATGGAAATGGTTCGTCGATCCGAGAGACGCCAAAGACGGACATGGGTGTCATGAGATGCAGAGGCAACGAGCGTACCGGCAGAATTCAGGACAATGGCGCTAATAAATCGCGTGTGCCCGCTCCAAAGATCATCAATCTGGTTCCAAGTCGATGAATCCCAACAACGTATGGTGGGATCAGAACCAGAACCCGCCGAGAGAAGCTGTCTGCCATTGGGCGTCCACACAAGTGAGATGTTGTTTGCTGGACTGATCGCTGCTTGAAAGATTACGATACAATCCCTTGTGCACGGATTCCATATTTGGATATCCTTGAATGTCGCAATGGCAAGAAGTTCGCCATCTGGCGAATACCGAACGCAGTAGACTGCTGAACGACAGGCGATTGGATTTCCTTGCAGCGTCCACGTTTTTGTGCACCAAAGCTTCGTCGTTTGGTCCCGTGAACCAGTTACCAGTAATTTGCTATCAGGAGAAAAGTCCATCGAGAAGATCGACCAGGAGTGAGCTTTGATGGGTTTGGTGAGAAATTCACCAGTGACACTGTGCCAAACGATGAGCTCTCCCTTGTCACCCCCGCTTGTGATGATTTTCTCGTCTCTTGATATCACCACTGTCCATACCATGTCGTAATGTCCCTCCATATTTTTCAACACAAGGCCATTCTTCAAGTCCCACAAACGAAGGGTCTTGTCTGTTGAGCCTGTCACCATACGGCGACCATCGGGGAAGACTGCGATTGCGAGAACAGTGCCTTTATGATCTTCAAACGCTCGAACTGACGTGGTGATGATAGGGTGCGCTGGGCCTTGCGCCATTCTAAGAGAAGTTGATGATTGGGAGCTTGATCTACGAACCTACTCCATGCACATTACCATAGTACACTGTATGTTTGTTTACGATTAGCTACTAGCTTAGGGTTCACCGTGCGAACTTATGACCTTGCTCCGACTCGAACTTTTTTATCACACAAATTTCTTTGAATGTACAAAAGCTATAATTCTAACCGCCGCTTCTTTAGTGTCTCTCTTTATCTGTTAAGTTCATTCATAGGTTGACAAAGTCTAGTGCATCATCACTGAAAACCACTTAGCACGATATGAATTCCCACTCACGCCGACCGTGCCAAAGTGTCCCAGACACTTCTGTTCCGAAAGCGCTGGATGCAGAAAGCGCATCTCTTCGATGGGTGTACGTATGAGTGTGAGCTAATCGACCACATGCTACGAGAAGTAGTCAATGCGGAGCGAAGGGTGTTGGTACACTTCTCCCGTTGTCGGCTGAGTGACACCCACCATCATGTTCAGCAACGTTGTCTTCCCGCATCCATTCGGGCCGGGCAGCGTTATGCGAGCATGGGGCCCGACATTAAGACTGATGTTTGTCAGTACATTTTTGCTCGAATTCGGATAGCGAAACCAAAGCGAAACGATGCATTCTTCACGGTGAACACAGATCCGTGGTACCGCAACGGAGGAGGATCCGGGATCTTTATTGACGCTGTCCTTAAGGCCTTCTCAATCTCAAGCTTTGCGCGCGCTGACGTGTGGTACCCGGCCCAATAAGATACCTAGAACCGTTTGCCGTCCTCCGTCTTCTCCATTCCAAGGCGTTCAAGCTTCTTTTTCCGGCTTGCTACTTGCCCGAGCCGCTTATCATCTCCTGTCGCACGAGTCTGTTGCAGTTGTGCTGGACGCTTGCTACAAGCTTAGCTCGCTTCTTCGCCTGCACATCCAGGAGAGCCTGTTTTCGTACTCGTTGCTCCTCACTGGTGCTTTCATAGTCTGCGAACGAGCCCGCGCGATATTTCAACATCTTATCACGCAGAATCATCGTTTTGTTTAGGTAATCTCTATCTCTACACCTTGCTCCGCCAATTTAGGACACGGCCCCATCAAAGATGAATTCTTTCCTACTATGGCGCCGATGGTACTCATTCCCCGGCTCGAGGGTCACCGAGCAAGTCTGCTCAAGGTTACCGGCTGTCGATGTCGACACTTAGGGTGGTTGGGCTGGACTGAGCGAAGCTCGGGGTAGGACGCGAGCAGCTGGAGCTGTGGTCACGCGCACCATATGAGTGCTGATCGATGATCGCCAGTATTCTAAATTACCACAAAATAGTATTCTCGCGTTTCCGGTTTCACCTCGAGTCACGGCCACCTCAATCAAGAAGCTCAACGTTTGGCAACTACCTCAATGCCGAGCTCACGCGAGATGGAAAGCCCACTACGAAATCCATCTTTCGTGCAGGTTTTGCTACACTTGTAAAGAACGAGGAGCCCCCATGCTTCACTGAAAGAGTACATCCAGAACTTGATCGACACATACGGGCTAGCCGTGTATAACATCAAATGCGTTTCTTAATCCGAGACCTGTCAAATCGATCAGATAGTCTTGTTGACCCCGGCCGTCTCAGAACCCATTCCTCCATCGCCCACTGTACCTTCACGCATCTTGGGGCCGCTATCTTTCTAGTCCGCGACGCAGCCTATACACACTCGCCTGCGGGCGGCCAGGGCATGAACATGGTCATGAGGGATGCGATCTTCCATGCACAAGCTATGACAAAGCACGTTCAAGCATCTGCAGGGATTTCGATATTGGTGATAGGAATTTGCGGACGCGCGTCATGCGCGAGGCTAGAAGTCATTGGCTTTACCAAGCCACTCTTGAAATACACAAGCCTTATGTACGTATAACTCATTCGCTTAGTGGATGTCGTTCAGTTGGGCCTTTATCCGCGATCGGATGCTAAGGCTATTGGGTGGGTGTGATTTCGTGCAGCCGAAGGTTGCCTGGGGCCTGAGTGGGCCTGGAGGATGGTAATCGCGGATCTCTTGGGCAGCTAATTTTATATACCATAATTCACGACATTCGTATTTCTTTTTTCACAGTTAGGAGTAGACATAAAAATATCAAATATTTCAGAATCTTAGTGTTCGCTGCGGTCATTGGATGGACTTGAATATGGGAGGGATCCGGATGTGCCAAACTGCAGGCTCAATATTGTCATGAAGACGGTGAACGCGATTGGTACCAGAGCACGTGCATCTTACAAGATGAAGTGATATACATAAACATGCACGATAATGCGACGTAGCACCCCATTCACCTTCATGCATCATGTGTGGTAAGGTACGTGTGACATCTGCCAGTGATCGTGTCTGATGAGGAATCGGCATTACAGGCCCAGGCTCCAGGGGTGATCTCAATACCGTTCTCAACGACTTTGGAGATGTAGAACACGGCCAATGCCAATGACATCACGGTGGAGATCCAGATGGATGCTTCAGCGAGGTGAATTCCGATATATCAAAGCAAGAACCGTCAGAATGTTTATTGGCACTGTAAGTCAGGCGTGCTAAGCGACCGCCAACGGTGTGCATATACGCAGGATGGGAGGGAGGACTTGGAAGGTTTGTGCTTTGTTCGGAGAACTGCAATGACAATGAGCTGCGTAAGGAGATAGTATTGTGGATGCCTACGAAGATCAGTCAAAGGATGGAGTTGTGTGGTTGGGTCGCGCTCGGATAAGATCTATTTGCAGACGGCCTGGAGCCATTCTGAGGAAACACACTTCTTTATATGTGCCTTGCTTAGAGTATGATATGCTTTACTGGGAGACCTGCATATTTATGTGTGTAATGGATAAAACAAATACAGTCGACAATGCACAAAGTCTGGTGTTAAGCTAAAGCCGCGCATATCGTAGATATATTAAGATACTTGCGAGCTATTGAAAGTCATCCTGCAAAACGAGGCAGGTTGAGAGGAGACGATGACTCGGATCCTATGGATGGACAAGCAACATCTGTCGAGTGGGCCTTGCCCGCCATAGCTGCATCAGCATCTCTTGTGTGATGATAGACAAGTCGCGAGGACACAACATTCGTCCCGTGAATTCCGATGCATGAGGGCTCACTCTCGGCGAGAGCAGCTGAGCCCTTTTCTTCCACTTCTATCACATAGAAGGGGGATCGCACAGCCCAGTTGTGGGATCCAAGATGGTGACTTCTGATAAGACATCCTGAATCGGATTTTTTTCCTTGATTATTCGTGTGCTCAAGGATGATTCAGAAGTGTTCAGCGAAATGGAAGTTTAGAATTTGTAAATCAGAAATGGAGACAAAGGCTACCGAAAATTTAGCAGATCACTGGTAGAGTTCTTCCTGCAAAATTTTCTTGTGCGACGCCCGGAACGTCAAGACGGACCTATAAAAATTTTCACCTGAGAAGAAAATCGTACCCAATAAGTAGATGCCAAAGGCAGCAGCAGCAGCATAATTGGAGGATGAGTGGTGTCGAGGCTCCTTGGGACCTCCTCTCACACATCTCCATTCTATAGAGAAAAATCGCGCAATCCATTTATTCGGATGAAGACATCTGAAAAGACCATCTGGAAAGACCATCAAATTCCTTGGTGACTCGCATTTCAGGGGGATCACTAAAAGTGACTTGTCATCCGAAGATTGAAAATTTGTCAATCTGAATGGAGGTGAAGGGCCGCCGTGAAGGTGACAGCCGAATGGCCTATTGTTCGAGTCAGCGCTGCGTCTACAAGTCACTCCTTTGCGGACATGCAAACCTTTTGGCACCCCTGTGCAATACGCGGAGGGCCTGAAAATATTTACCTAGTATAGTAAACCTTGTTTATTGAGGTCAGTAAACGTTGGATACATATCAAAGAAAACAAGCAGGGATGCATTTGAGAAGATTCGACGGCGGACTTGTCATAATGAAGAAGATGATTACATAATTAAGTTTGGTTCTGCCATCAACTTCGTTCAACTTATCGATTATCTATTATGGACCATGACTTGAAATATCTAACAACGGTGTTGTGCTAGTTTACTTAAAAGCCAGCTCAAGTTTGCGTGTTCTGATTCTCAAAGTTCGCTTTTCTGTTCTGTCTGAGCCTCCTTAGGCCTCATCATCATGGCCGATAATGCTGATGCCACCGTACAAAAGACACCTCCCCGTAACTCTTCCATGTCAGCCGACTCGGAGGCTGTACTCAAGTCTACCCCACTCGCAGTTGGTTCCGCTGCTGTCAGCGAACACATCAGTACTGTCGGCGTTGAGTGCGTCAACTCTTCCTTTCGTTCTCGCCACTATCACCCATATCAGTAATTTTTGCAGAGTCAACAACGTCCGCCCATGGATCACGAGGGACGTCCAAAACTTTGAGAAGTGTGAGGCAGATACGATGCTGCAGGTCCTCCTTGCAAGGTGCACAGGTTCTTCCCTTTCTGTCAGCGAGGAATCGAAGCTACTCGAAGCTTCTCTCGAGGCCGTCCTACCTATCTGCAATGTGGGGGCTGTGGCGCAGGAGATCAAGGGACACCTGACTGATTTGTAAGTCAGTATTTCGAATAGTGCGAAAGAAGACTGACGCTGTTATCAAGTTGTAATATCGAACGCGAAACAGCAACATACGCTCCTTTCGTCAGAGCCGCCAACTGTGCGCTCCATGAACTAAGCAAAGTGAATGTACATGGAATACCTGCGTTTAAGGTTGACGACAAAACCAACATCCTACTCCATGTCAATGATCCAATGCCCATATACCAAAACCACCAGGGCAAACAGTCCGAACGCAAGCCTGACGTTGTCGTTATCTCTCGTAAAACTGCTCTGGGTACACAAGCACAGCAAATGCAACAGCCCCAGGTCCTTACTGAGACTGCGTGCAAATCACCCAAAGACAACTTTCAATGGACCGATGTTCGATCGACATTGGAGTTCAAACGCTCCCGGAAGCTTCTGCCTCACCCGCCGTCCACTTATAAGACAAAATATGTTGTTCCTTCTCCTTCTGCGAAGTATATGGTGTATAGGAAGGACGCGAACGGCCCTGCTAAGCCAACAGGTTCAACATCTGCTACTGGGTCTGCCCGGACCGCCCACGAAGCATCGAACGAGTGTAAGCTGTAGTATTTCCGTTTTCTCCTTCGTCACTGACATTCGCAAAGCAGTAAGACCCTCATCGCAGCAACTCAGCAAAGGAGTCAAGCGCAAGCGAGCCGGCAACAATGAAAATCGGACTGAAGAGACGGAGCCGCGTAAACTCCATCCTATCGTCCAGAACGGCCTGTACGTTGCAGAGATGTTTGCGGCTCATATCGCGCGGCAACATGTCATCTCCCTTATTGTCAACAGTAAGTTGGTGGGATCCTGTTTGCCTGACGTCAAACTGATAATTCGTTCTAGACGACTGCATTCACGTCTGGTTTGTTGATCGTGAGGCGACAATTCAAAGTGCTGCCATCAACTTCGTTCAGGACCTTCCACGCTTTTTCGTGTTGCTTCTCATCATGCAGCGGATGGGATACGAGCAGTGGGGCCTTAACCGAGTGTTTGAGCCTGAGCCTGGATTTTCGGGCCCGGTGCTGGTTAAGGATACCCAAATCGACCTCGAACTGGACGTGAAGTCTGACGAGCGCGTGACTCATTTCGGTATACGCGGACGGGCAACTACTGTATTTCCAGTAAAGAGTGAGGCACTATCAGGTCGGCCCCGGGGTCCCCATTTTCGCAATGAATCCCCTGAACTGGTGGCCAAACTCTATTGGCCAGAAGAGACACGTCAGAGCGAGCCAGACATACTCAACGAGGTCTACAAGATTGCACAGACGGATCCGGATGTGCTGGGCCACGTCCCAGAGCTTGTCTGGTTCCACAAGTTTGAAGAAACGTCCACGTCCAAAATCAGAATCGCACTAGGACTGAAGGACGCTGAACGGGCAAAGCAGGGCAGCCGTGTCCTGTACATCATCGTATTCAGAAAGCTTATTCCGATCACGACGCTTTCCGGCAAGGAGTTCCTTACCGCATGGTGGCAAATTGTGAAGTGTAGGTCATTTTCTTCTGCCTTTTATCATTCATTCATTACTCCGATAGGTCATCGTGCCCTCTGGAAGGGAGGCGTGCTTCACCGGGATGTCAGCCCTAGCAATCTCATGGGGTACCGCTTACGCGGTCAATTCTTTGGCGTTCTGAATGACTACGATTTATCGTCGTTCAAACGTAATGGTCCCAGCGGCCTGGAGCGCACGGGGACAGTACCATTCATGGCGGTAAACCTTCTCACGCCAAAAGCCATAGCAGGCGAGGTCGAGCACGTGTACGCGCATGATGCTGAATCGTTCATCTGGGTCCTCACCTGGATCTGCCTCCGGTATGAAGATGGCAAGCTCCTCAGCAAAAACAGACCACTAGAAGAATGGCTAAGAGTGGATGCCTCGACATGCGCAGAAAAAAAGTCCCACTTTTGGTCAAATGGGCTCGGTGCACGTCCATCTGTATCGCACGAAGCGTCTTGGGACCTTGTACAAAGGTGCTTTCTGGGGATCCACTCGCTTTATACTCCACTCGGGTACCGCAAACTGGCTGATCAACCGGCGTTCGAGTTGTTACTTGAGAGACCTATGCTGGAGCATGAGGTTCATTTATCTGCCAAGTAGGGTAGGTGTACTTGTAGTTGAGTAGCGTGCCTCCGCAGTTACAAATCACTTGTAAAATGAACAGGAAGCCTTTTTGGGTACTATCATGATTTTGCAATGAATTTAGATGCCACTGGTATTGTCTGCACATCATGCGGTAGCGTAAATACATTTTGGACGGTTTAGCAGCCCAGTTGTTTGGAGACGGACAAAGACATCTAGAAAGACCATCAGATTCCTTGAAGTGACTCCAAATGCATCCGAAGATTTGGAACTTCAAAATTCTGGTTGAGTTTGGGTTGAGTCACCATTGAGAAACCGGCCTATCAGAAGATGATTGTTTATGTAATTTGATAATTTTCGTGTGGCACACTTCAATTGCAAGTCACCCGGGCCAGTGTTCGTTCAACCATACTTACTGATTATCGTGTACAACCTTGACTTGAATGTCTGCCAACAGTAGGGTCGTGCCAGGTTAAAAGCGAGCTCAGGCCTTCATATTTTTCTTTCCGAAGTTCACTTTTCCGAGTCTCTCCTACTCTCCTACCTTAGGCCTCGTCATGGCCAATAGTAACGCTGGTGCCACCCCACAAAAGACACCTTTCCGTGCTAACACTTCATTCTCCACTGAGGCTGGGATCAAGTCTACTCCACGAGCAATCTATTTCGTTATCGCCAGTGAATATGTCAACACTGTAGGCATTCAGTGCGTCAACTCTTTTTCTAAATCGTTTTGACTGCCATCACTCGTATTAAATTTCGCCATTTATGCAGAGTCGATACTGTACGCCCATGGATTGGGCGAGACGTCCATAAGTTCGAGAGATTTAAGACGGACGCTGTACTACAGGGGCTGCATGCAAGATGCACAGGCTTTAAGCAGATATCCGAGCCTGAGCTCATATTTTCGGGCGAAGTGATGGCCAAGGATATGCGAATCGACCTCGAATTGGATTTGAAGTTTGACAAGTGCACGACTCGTATTGGTAATGTGACCACCGTTTTTCTAGTTAGGAGCAAGGCGCTATTGGGTCTCCAGCTGGATCCCCATTGTGAGCCCTATTGGCCGGGAGACAAACATCAGAACGAGCCAGTTCCAGTTACCCTTGACAAGGTCTGCAAGATTGCGCAAATAGATCCTGATGCATCGGGCCACACCCCAGTGTTTGTCTGGTCTCACAAGTTTAAAGGATCATCCACGTACAAAGTCAGAATCTTACCAGGACTGAAGGCCGTCGAACTGGTCAAACCAAACAGCGGCCATGTCTTGACTATCATCGTATCCAGAAAGCTTATCACTATCACAACGCTTTCTGGCAAGGAGTTCCTTGCCGCGTGGTGGGAAGTTGTGAAGTGTAAATATATATATCTTCTCCTGCTCTTTATCATTTATCCACTATTCGACAGGTCACCACGCCCCTTGGAAGATTGTGCATCACCGGGATGTCAGCCCCAGCAATCTCATGGGGTACCGCCTACGCGGTAAATTTACAGCTGTTCTGAACGACTATGACTTATCGTCGTTTAAACGTGATGGTCCCACCGGCCTCGAGCGCACGGGAACGGTACCATTCATGGCGGTAAACCTTCTCACGCCAAGAGCCATAGCAGGCGAGGTCGAGCACGTGTACGCGCATGATGCTGAATCGTTCATCTGGGTCCTCACCTGGATCTGCCTTCGGTATGAAGGTGGCAAGCTCCTCAGCAAAAACAGACCACTAGAAGAAGAATGGCTGAAATTGGATGCTTTCACATGCGCAGAAAAAAAGTCCCACTTTTGGACAGTGAATTTCTGTGATGCGCGTCCATCTGAATCGCACAAAGCGTCCTGGGGCCTTGTAAAGAGATGCTTTTCGGGGATCCAGTCGCTTTATACTCTTAATGGGTACTGCAAACTGGCTGATCAACTGGCATTCGAGTTGTTACTTGAGGGACCTATGCTGGAGCATGACGGTCAGTCATCTGCCAAGTAGGGTAGGTATAATTGTAGTTGAGGTAGCGTGCCTCCGCAGTTATGCGACGTCACTTTGTAAATGAACCAGAAGCGGTCTTGGGGACTTTTCAATGAATTTAGATGCCACTTGTATTCTCTGCACATCGTGCGGTAGCCGTGAATACGTTTCATTTTCGACGGTTTAGCTAGATTGATGGGCTAACGAAGCCAGGGGATCATGGTGTGAAGGAAGCATTAAGCCTCTCCTGGTGAGACGCACCAAACAATTTTCCACGAACACATCGTCTAACAACTTGAGCATCGAGAAAGGAACACGAGGGCCGTTGACACAGGTTCACAAAAGTGCAATGGAGATGAATCAATTTCGGGCACAATGGTGAGCAACAGCAAGAATGATGCAATAGGACAATATTTCACAGAGGCTAAACACCCCGCATTTGAGAACACGTACTATATCTATCATCCCCACCTTAACTTATGAAATGATATGTGAATAGGCAGCCATAAATTTGCATAACGGTGACTATGGAGCCTATTGGACGATTCTCTCCTTCGGCCCCCCAAGCTCCCCGCATCTTCTGCAAATCAGGCAGGTCAAGCGGACAATCATCTCATAGAGAAGTAAACAAACACATCGGTAGAGTAGGCCTTGCATGCCAGAACTAAATTAGCGTTTCTTTGGTGTTGATTGGCAGGCTGTTAGTAAGCGCACTAGCGTTGGACATGTCATTCACCTCGTGATCTCCGACCTGCGGGTTTGAGGACTTGAGTATGAGATTATTCGTGTGTTTAGTGATGATCAGAATTAGTTGACGATGAATCAAAAGATATATGCTGCCTCAAATTCGGTACGTCAGTGGAATCCTTCGGTTGCAATTGCGACGCGATCCTGCGGAACATCAAGTAGACCTGTAGAAAGTACCCGATAGCCAAAGGCCACAGCGGCGGTATATATTTCGAGGGCGAGTGATTTTAGGGCTCTGAGTTCCGTTCTAAAGGGTAAAAAATCGCGCAGCCCGATTGTTTGGAGGCAGACAAAGACATCTAGAAAGACCATCAGATGCCTTGATTACTCACGTGTTCATGGGGACCAGAAGTGACTCACCGTCCGAAAGGTTCACGACATGGAACTTCAGAATTCAGATGTGGAGGCGCACCTTTGTTTTCGTCTTTAATGCTTGCGCAATCTCCACTCTCGATCACCAAGTGCACGCTACTGGCAGGCAGACAGTGAACCTCTGACTGTTATCAAGGGTGTTCCACTTCGTGTCGCTCGAGCGATGCTGACACAATAATATCGATATCGTGGTGGTCCAAGTTTAGGTCATCACTGACAAACCTACCTATAATTTACGCTTGATGGTTGTCTTCATCCTATCTAGACATCATCACTCCCATCACACGCTCCTCGCTATTGCTCATCTCCCACCACAACTGATTCGACTCATCTGCGTCATCACCCACGCTTTCTCTCATCTCAATATGGCTTCCTGCACTCCATAAGTAGTTCATGTGGTGCACGGAGGATGACTTGAAGGTGTTCGAGGTGGGGGGAGCTGTTGAGGGGATATAAATGATTAGTGGAGGGTGTGTGAGCTATGCGTTTGATAAGTGATATTGGGTGGTTTCGATCTCCGGAGAAAGGTGAAACCAATATTATATGACCTTGCTGGAGGGAACTAACACATTTGAAGTGAATCTAGGACACGACACGGTGACGACACTAGCCGCAGGTGATAACACCAAGTAATAGTATTCAAGAAGGATGAATTACTACGACCGCAAGGCGCCGTAGTACCGCTTATATAATCAAACCACATCTTGAACGCGCCTATTAAATACTAGGCTGTAGAGCTAAAATAACAGTAAGTATCCTGTGAGTCACAATCTCCTCAAAGTTCACTTTGATCGTGATCGTCCTCTAAATAATCAATACCTAGAAATGGCACAGCTCATTCTGAACCCAACACCCCTTCGACTGTTCGAAGATCATGAACAACGTGATGATGGCACTACCGGTAGAAAGGGTCAAAATGATAGATTTCGCACAAATGCGATCGCAGTTTCCCCTGACGGGCGACGCATGGTCACTTCCTCGTGGAATGTGATTCGTCTGTGGGATATGAGGGAAGGTGTTCTGTTGAAAAGATTGGAGGGACATTCGTGGAGCATCGTGAATGCATTGGCGGTATCGCGAGATGGACAGATGATAGCAAGTGGTGATGATCGAGGGACGTTAATCGCCTGGGATTTGAACATCGGGGAATCTCTCACTCAAGCCATCAAAGCCCACTCCAGTGGCATCCCATCGCTGGCTTTTTCTCCCGACAGCTCTCTGGTGGCGACTGGTTCAGGAGATGGGATGATAAAGTTGTGGTGTACAAAGGACTGGGTGCTGCTAGGAAATCCAATCATTTGTCACAATCATGAGACAAATGTCCGCTGCGTCCGGTTTTCGCCGTCTGGCGAGCTTCTTGCGATTGCAACACACAACAATATCCAAATCTATAATTTAGGTACGAGGGAATGCGTAGCAAACTTCAAGGGTCACAATACCAGTGAGTCAACCAATGGATCATACAATAACTCGCTCGCCTGGATGCCTGATGGTACACGGCTTCTTTCATCGGGCGGTGCCACGGATCCGACCATACGGGAGTGGGATACATCAACCTGGACACAGGTCGGTGATCCCTGGAAGGGCCATTTCAAGAATATCCAGGCCATTTCTCTAAACTCTAACGGCACTCTCCTTGCCTCCGCATCTGATGACAACCGTGTCCGACTCTGGCGTGTTTCAGATCGGCGAACCATTGTCGCATTTAAACATCCTAGCGAGGTGCAATGCGTTGCCTTCTCCGCCGATGACAGGCGAATCCTCAGCGGAGACCAGGATAAGAAAATATCAGAGTGGCCAATATTTGAGGAGGCTTTGCAAGAGGATTGTCCAAGGATTGTTGCAAGGGATGGTTCAAAGGACGATCCAAAGGAGCAGGTAAGGCACTAAATAATTCAGTTTCATTTGTGTCATCTAATCGATGTCAAGGCTCAGGCCTACTCCGATTTCAAGGCATGTTCCCACCTTTGTCTCTTATAATGCGATACGAGCAGGCTTGACGCAGGTCCTCGCTATAAACTCGGACGTCCGAAATGCGTGTATAGCTGGTGATTTGCGCACTGCTGCTATTGTGCTAAATCAAGAGATTGATACTCATGCCAATAATTACATCTCCTATGCCAACCGCGCATTTGTTATGGCACGAGAATCCGACTGGGACCATGCGCTCCATGATGCAATTAAGGTGATATACCTTGACCAATCATGGCCCCCTTATGAAAACTCACTTTTATGGTGATATAGTCCGTCAGAATTCAGCCCTCATTTGCAGGCCATATCTCCAAGGGCATCGCTCTCTGCGGGAAAAGGCAAGTTTTGGCTGCGAGGACAGCATTTGACCTTGCGTCAGGATTCACCAATGGAGATTTAAAGACCACTCATTTCCTTTTCTTGGTCAAGGCAGGTAAAAAAAAATTACGTAGTCCTACGTGCTTCATCACGATTTTCAGACCATCGCGTTGTTTAACGCAGGTCAACATGAAGAGGCAATGCTACGTGTCGAGGAGCTAGCTGCCTCTCCCAATGTCGATACTCTTGTCGTGTCGTGGAAGTGAGCATCGCCTATTTGACAAGGTTCAGGTAGTGTTCTGGCACTGATCCTTCTGCTCTTCCGCATCAGGCCTACCTACGGGTTCAACTAGGAAAAGTAGCCTTTGATAACAATCGCTACAACGAAGCTGTTGACCACTTCACTGCCGCGGTCAACGCCAGTGCTTTCTTTCATAAATCACCGATTCATTCTACATACGACGAATTTGTCATGGTACGTTGATATGATGCAACGGAACAGTGTGCTCATCTGTGTGTTTATGCAGCTCTTTGGTTGGGACCTGAAGTCCTTGTGGCAGAACGCGAACCAGAAACAGTGCCGCGCACTCCTTCGGGCGGGTAGAATTGCAGCAGCCATAGAATCTTATCAATCCACCATGGACAAGAGTGGTGAGGATATGAAAGCCCGCTTAGGTGCCTGGTTTACTGGTAAGTCTTCAGCAACGCCACCTAACTGTGACCTAAGAGTCCTAATCTGCACTCAGGCTTCGCTTAGCTCTCTAAGAACCAAATGCACTCTATACTTCCAATAGAGATACTGTGCACTGTGTGCGCAGTCACTCATACAGTTGAAGCACGGAAATTTTCGAGTGGGTTTCATGTATTACACCTTGATGGTATCTGTATCACTTTTGTACTTGTAGGCTCTTTTCACACGGTTAAGCGACTTTTGCCTTTGACGTCTCGGGTCATTGCGGCTACTTATCATCACGCATGGATGCTTCATTATGAAGCCCGCTAGCATTTCTTCGCGAACAACAGCAAAGTCAGACTGGTCAATGAAGCCATGTAGTCTTTCTTTGAACAGTCCGAGCTTTCGAGGCTATTTTCAATGGAACTGGTATTGAGAACCATCGCAGGTGGCCTCAGCATGAAGGACTCTTATTCTTTCGCTTACTCAGAGGTTCGAACAGCTATTTCTGCACGTCACTTATTGATGTTCAGTGCCGCTAGGAAACGCGATTAAAAGCCCGTACTATATCATGCAGACTCCAGCCATGGATATTCAAGCAAAGTCACTGGCCCAATATGTCATCAATGCTCGCTTGATTACCGCAGCTACAGGCGATGAGACTACTGATGTGACCTATACTGCATCGATGTTCGTCATCTTTTCATTCTCTCTGACCTGGGCCCGTGTTAAGTGTTACTCGATGCCAAAAGGAGATCCGGCCATTAGATAGTGGCCGAGCACTACCCTTTGTCCTTATCGCCGGCAAAGTCTCGCGAGGCACCCCAGAACTTGCATAAAGTCGCATGTTTGACATTGATGTCATGCAATACGGCATTATGTTAGCGTATAGTCTACATGCACCTTCCTGCAACTCTCTGTACGCAGACTTCATAATCAAGCGGCAGTATTACCGGCCCGTCGCTTTGCACGACAGCGTGGACCAATCCAAATAGCAAGCCAGATCATGGGAGAGCACGCCAGGCATATTCCCCCAAGCAGTACATAGGTCCAACCAGGACCTATCGCGTTGACAATCAGGTCTACGACAGAGACTATCAGAGCACCCAAGGAACATCGGACCACATTATTCTGAAACGAAGTAGTCAAGATTGTTGATAAATCAAGCGACAATGACACTTACACATGCGGTAATGGAAGAACTCTGTGAAGGTAGTAGATCAATGAGTAGCGTCTGCACGCCGTTCATAGTAGCGACGACTGTATAACCGACTGTTGATCCACATAACTAAGAGTATTGCGAGAAGGAAAGGAAATGACGTACAGATAACTTGCAGGATCAGTGGAACTGCAATATTTACTTCACGCTGAAGCGTCCACCCATAACCAGTGCATGTCAAAATAAAAATGGCTGTAAATATGGGTATCATCCGCAGCCTGGCTCTTTCTATTGGGAAATTCTCCTCCTTGGTCACGTCCTTGGGCAGTATGCGCTTTTCAGGATCTTCTTCAGCCTTCTTCACGAGCCTAGCCTTGGTTCTTCGAAAATCGGCATCCAGCATTCTGCCGGATAGGACAGTGCTAATGATCATCCCCCCACCAATCGCTAGGAAACACAATCCTATATCTATTTCGTTCAGGAACGGGTACTTGCTTGCGAATATCGTGGATATCGTGGTATTCACCGCGTAGAAGACGGCGTATAGAACTGCATTGAATACGAGAAGGTTCAAAACATCCAGGTAGAAGAAGAGGCGTAGCGGATTGTTTAGTGTGGGCTTTGGAGGCTTCTGTGCATCACGGTTCACACGCCCTTTCCCAACAATTGGCACGAGGGGACGATAGAAAGGCGACGGTATTACACTACCATCACCCACCAGTCGACGGAGTGTTTCAGGTAGGAAACTGTAATATGAATGAGGTCAGAGGAACACTAGAAAATAAATCGCGTACGTGAGTATGAAAGCAAAACATGTGGCGGACATGATGCATAGAAACCAGAAGATAGATCTGTAACACATTTAGCTACATTCAATGTATTAGATAAGAACTGACCTCCATCCGAGCTTATCTGCAAGGACACCACCAATAATAGGTCCCAGAGCAGGTCCAACCTACGCGAGTATTAGGGTACGTAATGCAGTAAAAGCGATACCTCATGTACTTGTGGTCCCAAGGTGAATAAGCCGAAAAAGCCCCCGCGTTCTGCAGGAGTTCCTATATCTCCAATTACCCCAGCACCTTCAACTCCGGTAAGATGAAAAGCTATAACAGTGAAGTTAATACATACCTAGTGCAACTGTACTAGCAGAACCCGCGGCCTGGATGCATCGCAAGAGCATTAGCAACCAGTATGCTGAGGTCGGGACCAAAGCCAGGCCGATGCAAGAAAAACACAGGACGAGGAGACAACCGAGAAAAATGGGACGTCGCCCAATGCTGTCCGCCATGGTCCCCCAGAACATGGGAGCTAATGTGGTTTAGATGTAATCCTTCCCCCGACAGACTTGTGAATCATTTGCTTACAGATGCCTTGAAGAATCATGTAGGCGGTAACGCTCAGATTGATTGATTCTATAGACGTGTGAAAAGCCGAAGCGATTGTCGGTATTGCAGGAAAGTACACCATTGCAGTCAGCGGACTAGAAAGATGTTCAGAATGCCCCTCTGGTCCACATACGGATGAAGATACGGCACCTAAACAATGCAGCCAAAGAGGCGATCATTACAATGAACCATTTTTCTTGGCGAGTGTATATACTATATGGCTTTTCTGAAGCCTGTTTGTTGTCCCTCTGTTCCTCGAGTCGATGTGGCACAACACCCCCAGCCCCGGGAAAGGTTACTGAGTTATGGAGAGTCTGTCTAGCGTGTGCCATGATCCATACACCAACTACCTCGCTAGAACTATGGAAAAATGATAAATCGAGGCCTTCAGGTGGGAATGATCAAGGGTCGTTCACTATTTATGGTGAAACAACAACGTGAGTACATACTTAAGTCACGGTACTGAACATGACTCAATGAGCAGTTTGTTGCCAATTTTTAGTCAATTCGATTCATCAACCACTCCGTCTTTGGCAAGCACGAGGTTGGGAACTTGGGATGACAAAGGGCTGACATAGATAGCGCTTGCTGACGTATGACGCGACGCTGCACATGAGACTACACCAGGCTTTGAGGCAAAATAGCCCCCGGCGTCCGGCAGGCGAGATTCAGAATCTAGAAAATTTGTCGAAAATATGACCCGCGTGACTTAGTTTATCAGCAGCAATTATATAATTTATGGAAAATACGTGCCCATTGCATGCACAGAAGTGCTGTCCTGCGTTGCAATGGCAGAGGATACAAAGTAAAGTGTCAGTGTCGATATGACAAGTCATTTTGTATCTTTCGTGCGTCTTCTTCACCTCGTGGCACGTCGATGCCAGATGTAAGCTGGAGAATGCCTGCCATTTCATACAAGCTGATCGCAGTTATACAGTGATGCCGGGATCGTCTCACAGAAAAGTATGAGGAATTGGTTGCGACCCATGGTTGAATAATGCATACCCTTCAAATCAAGTTCATCGACGGTCTGAAGACTCGAGACGAGAAGTTCTTGAATGGTCTGCCTGGCGTTCCCTCCGTTAGCGCGTTGTCGGCTCGAGGTCTGTTTCAGTAAGAAGGGCGTGAATAAGTTGTGTCAGCGTAACTGCTGTGCCCACCTGTGTGTATGATATGTGCGGCATGCAGTAGAACTGAGGCTTCCACGACTGAAGCGACGATAATTCGAGCAGTTTTTAGGGTGCCGAAAACCTCAAGGTGTTCATACCTCCAGTGAGAACATGAAGAACCAAGCACAGGTGTTGGTCATAAGGTCCATTTGTCTCGAAGACGTCAAAGAGATAAGGGAGAAGGGATGCCTTGATCGATTCGGCAATAGATTGCATGGCCTCCAACTCGAGCAGGTGACCGTTGTGGCGACCTTTGGTAGCATGAACAATCAGAATATTGATGACAGTATCCTAGCCTCTCTTCCGAGAACGTGAACAATGACCGAGGATAACTTGATGTATAGGCAACTAGACCTCGGAACCTTATAGTGTGAAAAATAAGCATAGGTGGTGAGCAACTCAAGAAATGTATTACGTAATACCGACCTAGTGTCAGTACCGCACACCGTTGGCCTTATTGGAGTGGACATTTTGGCATGGAGGTCATGCAGTCATTGTAATGTCCCACTCATGACGCTCCAAGCGCTCAAACCAGGTAGGCCTCCACCGATCCTGTAGTATGCAAATCAGGGTCTTCCCTATTGAGGGTCGAAGCGCTCACTATCCTCCGCACTGAGAATAAGTAAGTGTGCTGGACGAGGAGTCTGAGAGCGGAGTTTGCCATAGTCTTGAAATGGGTCATCCCTGTTGAGGGTTCTTTCGTAGGCGGTCCATTTGAGCGCTGACCACAACAGGCAGTGTAAACATGCAAATGGAGACATATAGATAGTACCGGCAATCCTTAGGAGCAGTAGCACTGGTGTACCCCGCAGTGGACATTGTTAAACTAGAATCATCGAAAGCTTATAGAACATGTATTTGAATGAGACACTGGCGGGGAATCCTCAGCAGTAGTTCCGTGTTTACTAGTATTTACGAGCATTAATATTCTTAAACAAGCACTTCACTGTGAGCTTGACGTCGCGGCTCAGCCACTGCAGGCTCACTTTCAATCTTGATGTGCTTTCACTTGAATGATCCATCGTGGAAATGGAACTCAACATCACCGCCGTGAGCTGGCCCTCTCTTTACAACCCAGCCATCGAGCTCTCCGTCTGTCCGAGTCATGGTCCCCTACTTCCCATACAGCCAGGTGGTTATTATCTCGTCAATCCAGACGGTAAGACATTTTTGTCACTTTTCTACTGCAGAGAGCTTATGGAACCCCACAGATATCTTTCGCTTCACTCTTTACTGGACTCTTATTTTTCACATTCCTTTCTATGCCATCTGTGGCATCTATGCCTTCCTCAATTTCGCATTTCCGCCTTCGCGTCGATCAATAACGACATTCCCGCTTGAACCCTCTCCCCATATTCCCTTCTCCCCCGATTCCAACCAAACTGAACAGTGGATCAAGCGTCCACGACCTAACGTTCGCCGTTCTCGACTCACTTTTGCCCTCCTTGTTATCCTTGCGTTTCTGTTCCTTAGTCTCACCGGTGCTGTCATGGGAGCAGCTGTGGTCGGTTTCGTACTTGCAGGTGTATACAAGGCAGGCGGCTTTTACATGTCCACGTGCGTTTGTTGTCGCTGTGCCCGCAGCATGCACTCACTGATCAAATTCATCAAGCT